CGGTACGATCCATACTAAAGAAAATAAATAAAATACAATGCAATAATGATAAAAAAAATCTAAAAATCTAAAAATCTAAAATAAACTAATAAAAATAAGGAAATAAAATAAGCTATCACTTTTCGTTTACTACAACTTTCGTATGGATTACTTTCGCTAAAAGTAATATATTTTCACTTTGATTTTCATAAAAAAAAATGTGTACATTAAATTATACTGTAAAATGAAATCTACGTGTTACCAACACCATCCAGAAACAAGTATTTTATGTTACTTTTTGATGATCATATATTATTTATGTGGGTTGACAAGTTAAAAAAATAAAGATGACGCTTTATATGTTCTTAAAAATTTAGAGCACAAGTTGAAGTTGAGACGGGAGTATTAATAAAAACCTTTTGAACTTATCGGGGTTGTGAAGTTCTTTCAAGACAATTCAATACATATGGTAATGAAATTGGGTTCAAATGCCACTACACAACACCTTATTCCTTACAAAAAAACAATGTTGTAGAAAGGCATAACCCAACGGTAGTAGAAATAAATAGAAGCAATCTAAGGGGTTTAAATGTTCCAGAAGCCCTATGGGGAGATGTCGTGAAATACGTAGTCTACATTATAAGTCGGATAACCATAAACTCTTTGAAAGATTCAACACCTTATGATCTATGGACCGGTCGGAAACCAAATATCAATCATGTAAGGGGTGTTTGGTTATGTTGCTTATGCAAAAATAGTAGAACACATCTAAAAAACTCAATGATAGGAGTAAGAAGATGGTATGAACGGATGTTTCCGAAGAGGAAAGAAACTGGGAGCGGGTACCTACAACAAACCTCAAAGCTATCCCTAATGGAACATTTACTTTACATATCTTGGTTGAAACCGAGAATGAAGACGAAGAAATACATCCTAATACAAATTTCAATAAAGCCTATACAACACAAGGAAGCTCGGTTACACCCAATTATCACTTGAAAGTTCACTTGAAAGCAAAGGCCCATAAAAATATCGAAGTTTGACGGATAATGATGAAGATTGTGATGAATTTATGTTTCTATTAGATGAAGAATAACTGAAAATTTTCTCAAGTGCAAGTACAAGTAACGATTGGACGGAAGCAATGAAAAGTTAATTAAGTGTAATTGAGAAAAACAAAACAGGGAGTTTAGTTGAGCTACCAAAATATAGGAAACCCATCAGTTTGAAATGGGTGTACAAGATACCCGGATGGAAAATATTGAAGTACAAGGCAAGGATAGTTGCTAAAGGATATATACAGTTACAAGGAATTGATTTCGATGAAGTATTCGCATTGGTTACTCGATTGGAAACACTTCAAATTATACAAGCTTTTACAACTTCGAATGGAAGGAGTATACATCACCTTGATGTACAATCTACTTTCTTAAATGGTAACTTATACGAAGAAGTTTATGTGACACAACTGAAGGGATTCGTAAAGAAAGATAAACTGAAGTGGGGTACAAAATGGAAAAAGCGTTATATGATTTGCGCCACGCTCTATGAGCTTGAAATTATTGCTTAAACAAATGTGTTAAATGTGACTTGACATTTGGAGCATTCTCACGGAGCATTTGAGTTCACTGGAGCAATTGGGATCAACTTGGAGCAACTTAGAGCAACTTGGAGCAACTTAAAGCAACATGGAGCATCATTTTGCGCCATTCAAAAAGGTGTTGCACCATCTATGATGAAGTTGCTCAAAAAAAAAGGGATGTTGCGCCAAATGGAAGGGATGTTGCGCCAAGTGAATGTAACTTATGCCATTCATACGGGTGTTGTGCCAACATGGGAGAAGTTGTGTCACATTGAAGCCACTATGATGCATGTTGCACACAATGGTGAGAGTTACACCATCCTTACATGAGATGGGCCATCTTCATACAAGATGTTCCATCTTCGTGCAGGGTGCACTATGATGAGTCATGTGTGCTATGAAGTCCTCTATGATAATCAGAATTTGGTGATACTCAAGGAATACACCATGTTGTGCCACCATGATGTATGTTGGACCAATAGTGTTCATGATGCACCAATTTTGCATCATAATGTTTCATTATGGTACAAGGTGATCCATCATATGCGTTGTTGATACTCATGTTGTATGTCATGGATGAATGTTCTAAAAGCTACTATAGGGTGGAATGTGATTGGTTGACACCTTTCATGGGCCTATGGGCCAATGGACTTGGCCATTAGGATTTTAGGTGTGATCCCTCAAGTATAAATATGGATGCATGCTAAGTCATTTTAAGTGCCTTGAATTCTAGAGTGATAGGCGAATCTCTGTGAAATTGTACTTGTAAGCTCTGTTTTAGAACTTAGAAATAAAGGATACTCCCTTCCTGCCAGTGGACGTAGGCCACCTTGTTCAAACCACGTAAATACTATGTATTGTATGCTTTTGGTTTTGCTAATCATCCGCTTTACTTCCTAACAAGTGATATCAGAGTTCTGGTTTCTGTTCTTGTGATTAAAGATGTCTACTCACAAGTTTTATTTAGAGAAGTTGAATGGTTCAAATGACTTCACTTTATGGAAGGTGAAGATGAGGGCTCTTTTGGTTGAACAAGGATGTGCAGTGGCATTGGAACGAGAGGAAAAATGCCAAAGGACATGTCGACTAAAAAAAATAGGGACATTCTGACGAAGGTACATGGTGCAATTCTGTTGATTTTAAAAGATGAAGTACTGAGGGGAGGGGGTCGTGGATCTGACAACTACTTCTGGGATTTAGGAGAAACTTTATGAGAAGTACCAAAACAACTCTTTGTATAAGAAGCAATGGTTGTACATTCTCAGGTTGTCTGAATGTACCCAAGTGAAATCTCGTCTGGATAATTTCAATCACGTCATCTTGGATCTACACGGGGTTGATGTGAAGATTAAAGATGAAGATCAGACGCTCATTCTCTTATGTTCTCTTTCGAACTCATGTGAGAGAATTTCGTTGATACCATGCTCTATGGTAGGAAAATGATTATGGTGAATGATGTGAAGGATTATTTGATGTCCAAGGAGCAGAAAAGAAAAGTTTCAGAAGGAGAAGATGTGTCCAGTTCCGGTTAGTTCGCAGGAAGAGGAAATACATAAAACAGGAAAGGGAAACAGAGGGAGATCACGTTTAAAATCCATGTCTAAAGTTTCATCAAATGAAAAATATTATAACTTCAAAGAGAATGGGCACTTCAAGAAAATTTATCCAAAGCTGAAGAATGGAAAGTTCAAGAGTGAATCAAGCAGCAATAACACTGTTGTTGTGGTTTACGAGACTTTTGATGAAGGGGCGATGGTGAGGTAGTGACGATAAGTACATATAGTTCTACAAATGCTTGGTTCTGGGATTCTAGAGCATCTTATCACATTACGTACAATCATGACTGTTTCGACTCCTTCAAAGAGTAGAATGACACAGTTAAGATGGGTGATGACTAGGTGATCAGTATCAAGGGTAGTGTCACTGTGTAGATCAATACGCACGATGGTATGGTAAGAAATTTAGATTATTGGTATGTCCCGGAACTTTGGAAAAATCTAACTTCTTTTGGCACTCTGGCTAAGAATTGGATGAGGTACGTTGGTGAAGGTGATTGGGTCAAAGTCACCAAAGGTGCTCTGGTTATAATGTAAGGGAAAATGAATTATGGAGAGATTTATATCCTAGAAGGAAGTACAATTATGGGAACGATGGCTATCTCTCGATACTTGAGTGAAGGCGATAACAAGACATAATTGTGGCATCATAAGTTAGGGCACATGAGTGAGAAGAACATGCCAGTTCTAACTTCTAAGTAAACAAGGACTTCTTAGTAGAAAGGCTACTAGAAATATAAAGTTTTGTGAAACTTGCATCAAGGGAAAGCATCACCAAGTGAAGTTCGGTATCGGACAACACACAAGCAAGGAAATCTTGGAATATGTTCACTCAGATCTGTGGGATCCTGCACCAGTGAAGTCTCAAAAGGGATGCTCATACTTTGTGAAATTAATTGATGACTATTCATGGAAGGTTTGGTTATACTTTCTGAAGACTAAAGATGAGGTGTTTCGTAAGTTCTAGAAGTGGAAGACCATGATTGAGAAAAGGATTGGAAAACAGGTCAAGACTCTGAGGACTGACAATGGGTTGGAGTTTTGCAACACTCCATTTGATAATTTCTGCAAGACAGAAGGTATATTGAGGCACCACACTATATAAAACATGCCCCAACAAAATTGAGTGGCAGAACGGATGAACCAAACACGAATGCAACGTGCAAGGTGCATGTAGATATTTGCTAACTTACCCAAGCATTTATGGGCGGAAGTAGTTAACGCTGCTTGCTACATGGTGAACTGTTCATCATCAACTGTTATAGATTTGAAGACTCCTTAAGATGTATGGTAAATTGGGATTATACTTTAGGTTTTGCATTTAAGACTATAATTTATAACTTTCGATTATTTACAAAATAATATATAGATTTTCTTTTAAGTTTAATTGAGATTTTGATTTAAGTTAGGCCTTTAACATTATATTAAATTAACAATTAAAATTATTTATACAAATTATTCAAAATTTATGACTTTAAATGACAATGATTTATATAAAACAACATATTCAAACTAAATTAAATATATAATATGTTAAAGGTTAAAAAAATATATAATAGTAAAAGATATTAATTTAATATTAAAGTTTAGTTAATTTCGGATTACAATTTAGGTTTTGTATTTATTCAATATGATTAACCACTTATAATTATTATTTTGAAAAAAAACTGAAAAGTCATAGGGATTTCGAATGCATATGGTGAAAGAAAAAATGTTTCTTTTTATAGTATAGTATAGCTATAAATATTTCTCTAATAGTCGGTTACTTTGTAGGAAGTCCGATTGATTTGTATATCAACCAACCCCTCTTTCTTGATTCCGTCCTTCTTATGTGTCTGCTTTTGTAACCAATAACATTAGAAAAATTAGAAGGTGAGAATCAGATGGGTAGAAAGGAGAACCGATATCTTGCAAATCCCTTAGGGTCGTCGCCCACCATTGGCGACGTTGTAGCAATGTCGTTGTACCCCACAACCACCACCTTATTCTCCCTTTTCTGTCTCGTCTAATTTCTCTCTAGCATTGATTTTCTGTCAAATTCTCCCTCCCTTTATTACTTTCTTTTGGTCTCTCTATGTATCGATAGAGCACACACGATTTATGCATGTATGTGGTGGTAGGGGGATTGAAGCCCGACAAAGATGTTGAGGGGGGGGGGGGGGGGGGGGGGGGGGGGGCATGACTTCTATTATGTGTATGTGTGTATCTATGGAAATCCAAAAAGTGAGGAATTATATTTATTTTGACAAAAGCTTCCCATAGCCTTTACCATAAATAAATTTGTACCTGGGATAACAATGTCAATTTTTACAAAATGTAGGGATTTTGTGTCGATAATAATAATAATAATAATAATAAATTTGTACTTATTTGTATTTTTAATTCATTCTGTGTTCGGTCGGAAATTACCCACGATTTCTGATGACCAATAAATCCATCGCTATTCCGTCTAAGGTTTATTTTTCTGATACTTGTACTCCCTTGTAGTGACGTCGTGAAGTTTTAGATGAGATGTCACGTATAAAATCGTCGAGCCAATACTTTGTAGATACATTTATAAATAAATTGACCTCGATGAAAATTGAAGAAATAAGGTATAATTTTCCTCACATCTATAAGTTGTGAGTTGGTGTGGGATTCGAGCTTAGATCTTTCACACGTGTCCACTTGTAGTAGGTACATAATACATCTAAGGTTTGCATTGTTGTTCACACGCTTGATACATTTTTTTTCATCTATAAAAAAGAGCTCCTCCATACATCTTAAAACACAGAAGCTGGTGCCTTCGTCATGCCAGGCACTCTCCGGTTCTCTTTTAAGCTTTTCTTGCTCTTCATCACGAGTTTTTGTGTCCATTTTCCCTATTTTCTAACTGTACATTTCATTTTTATGGCAGATGGATCTTACTTCCAATAACCTAAAGAGATGCAACAAACGTACATATATGGTGAGGGGTTTCGATGCGATTCTTGTCAAGTGAGCAGTCTTTTGCAGCTGACCTCTCTTTCGTTGTCTGTTCGACCTTGATTATATTCATATATTTGCAACCCTAGTTACATACTTCCTTATAAATATCTTAACATATATTTACTTTTATTTTATTTTCTTTATCACCTACCACAATTTTTTGGGTCCCTTTCATTCATATCTCCTGACATCAATTTATATGTTGCATGTTTATAGATTACAAATTGTCTACAACTACCAAAAAACTAACATCTTCTTGGTTTTGGGGATAAACATAGATTTTGACCCATAATCTTAGAGATATTGGACGTTGATAGGTAGCTCTAATGGTGAAAAAAAAATGTCGATATTAAAAGCACGATGGGAAGTTAGTTCAATTACGATATGTGTATTATTTAAAGGGTGATCATGGACTACATGAATCTTGTTCACTAGTCTCGAATGGATACAAAATCCTAGCACCATATATGATCAACCCATCCACAGTGTTCTTGTCGGCCTATAGTAGGAGTCAGAGGACGAAGTTAGATAGAATTCTGATTATAAACATATATATAATCATGCGATTATGATTTTAAACAGCATCATTTTGTGTAGGGTTGGTGTTCAGTTTGATTCTGTTATAATCTACCAAAATTATCTTTTCCAGTTTTGGTGGAGATATATTACTATACAAAATATATGAGCTTCCTATCACACTTCCATATGTGATAAATATTATCATTAGGTGTTTATATGCTATATTAAATGTTATGTGCTAGAATACTAGTTTAATACTGTATATATTACATTCGGTGTTTATAAAAATAGTTTTTTCAAAACAATTTTAAATCCGAAAGATCAAAATATAGGTTTCTACAGTCACCATTAACCTCTTATATCGGTTTTAGAACGAGTTATAATCCAGTCTATTTAATACACTTTGATTTTTTATAAAGACATCGATTTCAAAAGTAGTCACAATTATATTTGGTAGTTTTAGTGTTTTTGTGTAGTTCCTTTTTCATGTTCCTTTTCTCCTTTTCCATCTTATGATTTAAACTTTAAACATTTTATATTAAAAAAAATGTGTAATGTTATCAATAGAAGATGGTCCTTTGTATCCTCACCTACCCATGCAGGCAAACAAAGAAAAAGAGCCTTTCTTGACACTGACCACCTTCTTTTTAATAATATAGACCACACCCTCACCTTTATTGAGTATTTATTATATTTAAATAACATATAATTGAAATAAATGTTATTATTATAAATATACTTATATGTAGCAATGACCAGAGAAACTCTTTAATTAATGGTTGGCTAAAAAGACATCCCTTTTTACCATTTAAACAATCCTAATTAATTTTGAAGTATTTTTATTGGTTAAAATTGTATTGTTTTTCGAAAAAACTGATTACAAGTAGTTTATTATAGGTTGACTTTTTATAAAAATAATGAGAAGGTATATAAGGGGTCTCTTATTAGCAGCACCCTTAATCAAACGATATCTTTCATTACATTAACAAAATGTCAAATCGTCTAAAAGTAAGCGTATGACCAAATGTGGGGTCCATAACCATTGGATCATGAGGTTTTAGCCGTTGCTTAGATCTCAAATGAATATACTTTTGATACCTACCACCACTAAATGACTAAAAAAATGGAAAAATATTAATTTAAGTACAATTTACACAAGTAGCTAAGTAGGTAAGAAAATAGTCCCCGTAGCGATAGCCTATGTGGCTCCATCACCACCACCGCTGCCAACAACCACCGTCTTTGGAACTTTCTCCTTTTTGTCTTCACCACCCTTCCATCCTCCACCACTTGGTGCTCCATACTTGCATGTATGTGTATGTGTATGTGTATGTGTGTGTTGTAATTATCTATGCATGACAAGGTGGAACAGACAATGAATGTGAGGTGATAACAAGCAAAAAGACTGGTTACTTGACAAGTGTTTGCATGGAAACCTACACTGAAAGAAGTGGAGGGGGACTGGAAGTCGATAGGTGGTCAAGAAGAAGGCTCAACGGTCAATTTCCCGACTATTTCGGTAGAAGCCATTAAAGCTTGCAGAAGCTCGAAAGAGAGAGGTTGGAAGCTTGAAAACGAATAGCAATGGTGTCAGGCACACCAAACGATGCAAATTATTGGGATTGTTTTTTGAGTTATTTTAATTTTATTTTCTTTCAGCTGTATTCGTTAGATTGTACATGTACGTTATGTCTTATAAAAATACGAATACGTTACTATATGATTATAGTTTTAGAATTACAAACACGACTCAATTATATATCAAGCTAATGTTTTAATTTCCAAATGCAATTATTCAATATCTTGTTAACTAAAATTTAATTGGTTTGTAAATGTCAATTATGATAATTACTAAATCATCTTGTTAACTAAAATTTAATTGGTTTGTAAATGTCAATTATGATAACTAAATAGCTTAACTAGTGCTGGCAATCATGAATTATTAGGAGTTGTTGATAGTTGTTGTTTGATTCAGATTTGATTGAATCAAAATCTGATTGAGTTACATTCAGTCTCTTATTAAACCAGGTAAGAAGCATATTAAAAAATAAATGACTGAATCAGAAGCTTATTCAGACCGACGGGTCTTCTATGAGATCAAGTAAAAAGCATAAAACAATCCTTAAATTAATATTTTATTATATATAACTTATTGCTCCATTCTAAGATTTATAGAACATGAATTAACATCATAATAAAATTTATATAAAGCACATAATACCGAAAATAAATGATTATGTCTCGAACTTTTGGTCCTCCATTATTTTTCCAAAATCTATAATTCTATCATAGGTTAATTTTGGTTTAATGATCACCACCGACGCCAACCACCATAGCACTTTTGGAGTTTTTTTGGTTATTGACGTTACCAGATTTAATTCCTCGATAGATTTCGATAACTTTATTTATTCATTTTTGAGTTCACAAGTACAAAGAAGTGAGCAAACCGAGGACATTGCATTATATTCGGTTTTGTGACAGTTGCGCGCACAAGATAGGGTTGAAGACAAATTCTACCAGCTGTTGATATAGTAAGGACTACATATATATTACATTCATTATTAGCTAAATATCTTCATAAGGAATAAATTTTAAGGTCTTATACACCACAAGTTTTCTTATTCGTATTTTTTTAAGTATGAGACTTATTTTTTCAGTTGGTTAAATTATAGTATTATAAGCAATTTGTTTCAAATTCATAACTGGTGGTTTAACAAGTGTGGTAATATTAGAAAAAGAAAAAATAACTCTCATCTAAACATCTATAGAGAAAGAAGCTATTATAAGTTATGACAGTCGATTAATTTCAAGATTGTTGAATATATTGTGTGGTTAAACATAGAGGTTCTTCCTTTTAAGGGCTACTCTCCTGAAGCCTTCAAGAATAGCAACATAATTGGCAAGTTAATAACTGAACCATGTCTTCCCAGGATATCTAATTTTTCAGATGGACGAGTGGGCACCCAAACGGATAATATGAGAAATATTTCATGTTCTAAAACTAAGGTAATGTGAGGAAATAATATAGATATTCAAATCTCCAATAGACGATAGTTAAGAGACTTCAATTTCTTTATCTGAATCGGATATCTTCCTATATAACAACACAATTTCTTAAAAGTCATCATAAAGCTTTGCGCTCCTTAATTAGCAACTCAATATTTAATGAGGAATTAAAGACAACAACTGAAGTGGGAGACTGTGTTGCTAAAGTCGCTTGGACAAAGAAAGTTGTGTATCAAGAATTCTATTAGCTTTTTGCGGATTAAAGAGACTTTTCTTAGTCCATTGTTTATTCGATCTTTTTGGGGATATTTTGCTTTCGTGTTTGTTAGCACATATACTAATGGACTTTATGTTTTCTCACAAATCTATAAGTTTTATGTAAGGAATCGTTTGTGGCCTTTCATGGTATTCATATGCCTCTGGATGTTGTTTTCTATCATAAATTTTAGCTCCCCAAGATGGTTTTAAGCCGTACGTACAGAGGGGTTGGTGCAAACACCATGGTTTGCCATGTTGGCCGTGCTGGCGCATACCATCCCGGGTCCACGACTATATGCAGCTGTCCTCTCTCTATTCATCTTTCTCCATATTATTTCAATTATTTACATATATTTTTAATTCATTAATAGTCTTTTTGCATTACAAATAAGGAAATCTCTAAAAAAAAGTCCATAAACTTTGGTCCTATAAACAGAAAATCATCCCTAATTCTTTTTTTTTCCGATTAAGCCCATGATACCGTAAACGTTTGCAAAATGGCCCTGTACCCCGCACAACGCTTACGTTCACCTGCTTTTTTTCCTGCTTAATCGTAAGCAAACAATATGGATGGTTTTTTTGTTAATAGGATCAAAGTTTAGAGATTTCTTTTTGGAGATTTCGCTATATTTTCTATTAAACCGTTGCAAATAATTTATGTTTATTTCATTAACCTATCATTTTAAGAAAAAATCCATAATTAAAATTTTATTTGGTTTATCCAATTAACCAAACCTATTAAACTGAACAGACTAAAATTGGTAGATGGAAGACCGGTTACAGTTGTAGATGGAAAGATCAGTTTTATGGTATATAGAAGATCAAAAGCAACCATTAAACAATTAAATACAATTCGTAACTGCAGTCTATCTAAGAGTCTCTCACAATCGAACAACAAGTCTGAAAACGAAGACTTACTAGAGGCTCTTATTCCCAAAGAGGACTCTATTAGACACACTATGTAGCCTAGAAATGTGCTCCTTGCGACAAATCAACAAAAGTCCTTTTAATTGTGTTTATCATGTGTTTTTATAACTATTATAACCATTATAATGTTCTTTGCAGCTATTTAATTGTGTTAAAATTTATGTTAGACAAAATTTCACAATTGGTCCCTGTGGTTTATAGAATATTACACTTTGAGGACTTCCTAGTAAAAATTCACGCCACTGGTCATTATGGTTTCAGTTCATTGCGCGATTGGTCCTTGAACCTAACCCCATCACTTTTGTACTGTTAGTGCAGGGGTATTTGTGTCTATTCATCTCGTTGTGCATCAGACTATATAATGTAAGCCCCACATTTGTATCCTTCTACTTCTCATTCATTTCTTATGTTCTTCCCTCCCCACTCACATTCTATTCCAAAAAAAGACGATGGTGATATGCCATTATGCAAGGTCGGCGGTTTTGGTGACATCGTAGACTGATCTGAACCCTAGTCGTCAATTATGGTCATGTTGAAGGTTAGGAGGAATATGTAGTTTTTTTTAATGGTTCGGCCCTCCTA